TTGGTCCCCTTGTAGGTTCCCACATGTAGTTGGGGGTAGGTGTTCAAGCTCACTCTCTCCTCGCATTGCTGTGTAAGGCTGGAAATGACTTGGAGAATGGAATTACCCATTAATGGATCTTCTGTGTGTGTTTGATCATCTTTATTGGTCCTAGTCAGTGATGTGTTTTCACCACCTGCAACAGTGCCTGGCACATTTGGGTTCTCAACTGATTTCTGTTGTGTTTTGTATTCCAAGCTCTCTCTCTGAAGTTCCTGTCACACGGTAGACTCTGCATAAAGGGTTGATGACTACAACGGAGGTAAAAGCAGCAAAAGGGGTTTCGATCTCAAAACAGAACGGGAGAGAAATATGTACTGGGGAGGCTGGAATAATGTGGGAGAATCAATATGGCTATGTGGGAAGACCAGGGGCTCATGAGAGAGCCTCAGAAATCATGTATGGGCAGGATATTTCTCCCAAAGCTTTTGAAGTTGACATCTCCTTCTAAGCACTACCTGTGTGAAGATTTTGCATTTGCTTTGATTTAAGGCCAAGGCCTTTATCTTAAGATAAAGGGTCTTCTCTCCCTTTCTTTCACTTTTGCTACATCTCTTCTCTCCTCTTTCCTTGCCCTACAATTTTCCTTAAGTACAAGTTTCAGTCCTAGGGAGTGAAACTTTGCACAGGGTGTGGTGATGCATACATATAATCTCAGTTATCCTGGAGGCTGAGGTAGGAGAATTGAGAGTTCAAAAATCATTCTGCCAAATTAGCAATTAGTAAGATCCTGTCTCAAAGTAAAAAATTAAAAAGGGTTGTGATGTAGCTTGGTGTAAGTGTCCTGAGTTCAATCTCCAGTACTGCAAAAGGTGTGTGTGGGTGGGTGGGGGGTAACTGAGAATAATAGGGCTCTCATAGAATAAGTGGCTAGCACACACAAGGTCCTAGGTTCAATCCTCAGTGTTGAAAAAATAAAGACCATTATGGTTTAGATCTAAAGTGTTCTCCCAAAGTTTCAAGTTTGGAGATAGAGCCTGGTTGGAAGACGTGGATCACTGGGGGCATGACTTAGAAAGGTATATTCTCATCCCCAGACCCTCTCTTCTCTCTCTGCTTCCTGGCCACCTTGCAGTAAACATCTTTCTCAATGTATGCCATTCTACAGTGCAATTTCTGTCATGCCATTTATGCCTTGAAATCAGTCAAAGTAGGGGCTGAACCCAAATAAACTCCTCCTTTAACTTGCAGGTGTTGGGGATTTTATGTGAGTGATGGGGAAGTGACTAGTACATATTTTGGTACCAGGAGTGGGATTGTTTCTGTGATTACCTGACCATGTGGTCCAGAAGATTTGCAGCTAGTTTTCAGGAGTTTGGAAAGGTTTGAAGATGCAGACTAGAGAAGTCCTAGATTGCCATAAACAGAACTTTATGATTAATAGTTGTCAGAGCTCAGAAAACTGGAACACTGACAGGGATATGAATAGTAAAGGCCAGGCTCAGGAAGTTTCAGTTGGGAACAAGGATACTACTGGTTGTTGTTATGCTATGTCAGAAAATTTATCTACATTTTGCTCATGTCCTGAGACTTTACAGAAGACAGGTATCAAAGACAGCTGACTAATCTGGAGGAAATCTCAAGGCAGCCCAACATTCAGGCTATGGCATGGATATTGCTGTTTGCTTTTAGCTAGATCTACAATGAAAAGCAGGAACCAAAGGCAGAACAAAGCAATTTTAAAAGTTTACAGTCTTACTTACCAGAAAAGAAGCCATTGCAAAGCTGTGGTAAAGGAGAGCATGTCTGATGAAAAGATTAGCATTAGAAAGAAAGGACCAAGGAGATAGATGCCTAGAGGGCATCTCAGAAGTCAACAAGATCCCACCCATTGAAGGCTCAAGGGTAAAATACTCTAACAAATTCATTTGAGAAGACAGTTTCTAGGATGACTGCTCATTCCTGAGTTCAGCTATCTAAGCATTCATAGGCATTGTAGCCATTATTCAAGGGGGCCAGGCCATTGCTCAAGCCGGTAGTAGAACTTGCAATCATCCATAGTTTTTCAACCACACAGAATGCCAGAGTTACAAGGTCACAAAGGCTTACACCCAGATTTCAGAAAGAGGTATGGGAAGTAAAAAAAAAAAATATGTGACAGAGTCACAGCTCCTGTACAGAGTCCATGGGAGGGCAGTGTGTGAAGTTGTGATACTGAAGCTGAAGGTACAGTGGAGACCCCAGGAAGTTGGAAATGCCAAAATTGGGGGACATCTGCTGAGGAAAACTGCAGGCAGTGAGTGAAGCCAGCCCAAGAGAAGGGCTGGCTATGTGGGGTCTAACCAGGAAGGCACAAGAGGAAAGATGCCCAAGCCCCTTAGAGTTTAAATCTCACCACAACTTGCTATGGATGTTGGATGTGAAGTACAGAATTTAATGTTTGCCCTCCTGAGTTTTAGTCTTGCTTTGATCCAATTTCTATTATTCTAATGCTTCCTTTTGGGATGGGAATGTTTACCTTGTGCCATTGTGTTTTGGAAGGGTTTAATTTTCTTTGTGATTTGTATAAGGGCTTGCAGCTAGAAGTTTGCCTTGAGTGTAGGAAGAGACTTTGGACTTGGACTTTTCAGCAGTGCTGGAACTGTTAAGACTTTGGCACCTCTTAGGGATAGACTAAACACATTTTACATAACAAGATGGACGTGGATCTTTTGGAGCCCAAAGGTAGAATATTATGGTTTAGATGTGGCCCTCCTAAATTTTATGTTCAGAGGTTTGGCCTGGTTGGAAGGTTATGGTGGGTGTGACTTGGAAGGATATATTATTGTCCCTGGCTCCTCTTTTCTTTCTTTGCTTCTTGACAGCAATATGATGGACATCTTTTCTCCACCATGCCCTTCTGCCATGCAGTTTCTGCCTTGAAGCCAGCTGATTATGGACTCAGCCCACTGAAACTGTGAGCCCAATAACCCTTTCCTCTTTTAAGTTTCAGTTGCTGGGTATTTTGTCTCACCGGCAGGGAAATGACTAACACAAAATGATCCATTTTTTAAGCTCATCCTTATCACGATCACATGTTTACAACTCTCATGAGCCAGATTGTGACTAAAGTAAAGACTTTTAGGGATTCAAAACTGTGATATTTAAAAAGTACATACATTTGCATAACCCTAAATCCTTTCTGACTTGGTGGCACTAGGGCCCTGGATGCAATTTGGAGAATTCATGTGTCACCTTCTGGCAATTGGAATCTGTTGTTTAACACCTGGAGGAAGTAATAGCTCCATGCTAATTATCAGGAATAGTTACATCTCCCAATTAGCAAGTGAGGCTTAAAGATCACTTTTCACCTTAAAAATATTTCCTGGCTTACCCTCCTCCTAATCAATAAGGGACACTTAGCAAACATATCATGTATTTGCAAAAAAATTATTTCTTTAGCCAGAGAAAGGAGTAGTACAAAGATGACTTGCCTTTGCGTCCTCCCAGCTCTTTGCACAGACACTGTGGGCTCCTCTGTGTGTCTAACCCAGTGATAGCAAATCAGAGTTGTAGAGCCACATTAGAAGGATGAGTAATGGATAGGTTAGGCAGGAGAGAAGGTACAAAGAGGAGAAAGGAAAAATAATTTTAAGAGAAGGAAAGATGTGAGGTTGTAACTTGCTTCCAGCCAGCTTAGCTGTCATTCTGTTCTTCAGTTCCAAGGCTATTGCACTGCACTCTTGCTATGGTTTCATTCTAAGCTGTCCCCCATATGTTTAGAGGTGGGGCTTTTGGAAGTTGATTAGATTGTAGGGGTGCTGTATACATCTGAGGGCTGATCCACTGATGAGCTTAGAGCTGACTGTATTCTTGGGGGTGGGACTGTGTTGGAAGAGGAGGGTCATTTGAGGCATGACGTGGAGGGTCACTGACTTTTGCTCCCTCATGTGGAGCAAAAACATTTCTTCCATCATGATGTTTGTACCTTGGAGCCAATGACCTCTGAAACTGAACTAACATAAGTCTGTCCTCCTTTAAGTTGGAAATGTTGCTGTGGTTTAGATGTAAAATGTCCCACAAAAGCTTCATGTATATGGGAGGTGATTGGTTCACTACAGCTGATTTACTGTTAGTAGGTAGGGCCTGGTTGCAGGTGGATCACTAGGAGTGTGACTTGAAAGGGTATATACTTGTCCCTGACTCTTCCTCCTCTCTCTCTCTCTGTCTCTCTCTGTGCCTCCTAGCTGCCAGGACATAAGCAGCTTCCCTCTTCCAGATCCACCATATCCTGCCTTCCCTGGAGCAAGCTAATTATGGACTGAATCCTCTGAAAACCATGAGCTAAAATAGACCTCTTCTTCTTTAAGTTGTGGGTGTTGAGTAGTTTTCCCCAATGACAAAAAAGTGACTAAGACAGATGTCAAGTATTTTGTCCCAGCATTCACAAAGTGACTAATACAACTCTAAAGACTTCTACTGCTGGCAGTAGGTGATTTGTTCCTCCTATTTGAACAGATACCTCATTGGCTAGTGGTTGTTCCCTGACTTACTGGAATGTTTTTAGGGCCTTATTGGGTAGGTAGACCATGTCCAACTCTTCAGAAACAAGAGTAATGAAGAGACAAAGAATTTTGTGCACTTGGCCAGAACCAAAGTATCCCTTCTGGATGGTGCTCCCCATTTTTCCTTCAAATAACCAGATTCTTTTGCTGAGTAGATGATGTTGAGGCTGACTTGCTGGGATTCATGACATAGGACATGGCTATTAAACTACGGCATGTGCGGCCTTTGATTTCACCAGAAGTGGACCCTAACCCTGGATATTACCTATATATGTAAATGAGAGTTTTTGAGTCAGAAGTTCAGTCATGGGTAGTATCAACTTGGAAGACTTACTCTTGCAAAATTATTTCAAAAATGGACATATGAGTCATGCAGGATGATATCTGGCCAGCTTCATCCAGGGCCTCATTTCATATTACTTAAAGGATGTCTGAAAGTGCAATGTAGCTGGACCTGCATCTCTAGGCTGGCCTTACCTTTTGCATTTTTTGCAGTTGTATTTTGCTGAGGAAAGGGCCTTTGTCAGTAGCTTTGTCTTCTCCTGTCTCCTTAGTCTTGTTCCCAGTGCTCTGGATACCTTCCTGCTTCTGCAGTGTGTGACTATGGGGTTGGAGATGGTCCTTGGGCTGGATGTGAGGGGGATGCATCTCCTTGCTCTCCTTCTTCCCACAGGGAACTCTGAACAAAATGTTCACCATTCTGTGTGATGTTTAGAATGCTTTAGTTATCTCAATGCATGGCCTAGTGTGTGGTCATGAGAGAAAGGGGTTGAGCTTGGATCACCCAACTTCATGAAAAATATTGACTCTAAAAGAAAAGAAGTTGACTCTGTGAACATCTTCCTGCAGAATACAATAATGAAGGAAAGGTGGCAATACTCCTCTAAGTAATGAGACAATTAGAAGGCCAGTATTTCACACTAACGCCTGCTGTTGGAACATCAACATATCATGTTTCTGCGGGGCTGGTTAACTTACTGTATGCTAGACTCTGATTTCAGTGTTCCCTCCTTCATTTCACAATGCATCAATTTTTTTTTAGGTTAAATAGTTTTTCAGTGACTCTCAGAGCACCCAGGTCATCTTACTTGGCAAGAGCTGCAGAGTCCTTCCTAATCTTATCCTGCTCACTCTCTCTTTCTCTCTGCTTCTTCCCTAGAGCTGTATCACCAGCAAGACCATCCCCACAGCCTGAAAATGCTGAGCGCTCTCAGACTTTTGTGGCTTGGTTCAGAGTGGAAGACTGTCCCTCTTTCACTCCATCATCCTTCCGGAAGTGCCTATATCACTTCCTGTATGGTGCCATCCATGATACCTCCTCACTCCCACCCCAGACATACCCCTGTCCTTCCCCAGCTCCCCGGTGCCATATGAGTAAGATCATTTTAGTAATGTCCAGTTGTGCTCTAACCATCAGGGTCAGTTCTCAGGCATACCTCAGCCACAAGACTATATGTTCTGTCAGGCCATGGGTCTGTCTATTGTCTATGCCTGTGTATCTCTAGCATGTAGCACTATAACTGGCAAGAAGTAGATGCTAAATCCATATTTGATGGATGGATGGTAAAATATCAGCTGAATATAGAAAGAAACACAAATGATAGTTTCAAAATATTAACTATGGGGAAAGAACTTAGCAGTTGCTTTTGTAATGAACCCCAAGTCCACAGTGATGATCAGAAAATCAAGGGTGTGTTTTTCCACCTAGGAAGGTTGTATCTAGGATCAGCTAGAGTGTCTCACAGCTAGGCATGGTAATGTCCACCTTCAATCCCAGCATTCTGGGAGGCTGAAGTACACTCTGCACAGCTTAGTGATTTAGTGAGACCTACCCCTAGAAACACACACACACACACACACACACACACACACACACACACACACACACACACACACACACATATCCTGGGCTTGGCAAAGGGCTCGGAAAGCAGGATGTGACTTTGCTTTGGTATTTTGTGGTTTGCCTATCTGCAGATATTCTAAGTGGTGCCATCCCTGGCAGATTTAATTTTTTCCCCTGAAAAAAAAATCAAGGATATTTAATCTAAAAATAAACATCATGGTAGTGGTCATTAGAAGAAATGGTTAAGGATTTAGGTTTGAAAGAATCCCTAATGGACCTTTATGTTAGCATCATTTGTTGAACCATCCTCACTTATATTAGAACAGAAACCTGAAATTTTCTTCACGGCATCCAGCTAAATAAAAGATGGTCATTTTTCTTTTATGGGTTTGAATTTGATTTCTGAAGTTGTGGTCTCTGAAGCCGCTGTTCTCTTCGGATGGTTCTCTTGCTCCTTTTGAAAGACACAGCTTACACAACTTCTGTGCTGTACAGTTGTGAGTAGCTGGCAGTTTTTTAGGAAAACAAAATTCTTAAGCCTAGAAAAACATCTGCTCCATGTCTGTTCTACTAGATTCTTCCAACTTTTGGAGCAAGTTGTGACATTTGAACTGACAACCCAAAGGCATATTTTTGTGTATTAAGGAAATCTACACTCAATAAATATGTTATTATACATTTCTCTAGTGTCCTATTCGAGGATCTGAAAGTGCTTTGCTTACTTTGGGATTCCTGTTTATAAAGTTGTAGCTAAGCATTACCATCTACTATATCTGGCAGATATGCAAATATGCCTGAGCCCACAGGACTCAATTAAACTAGGCCTTGTTGCGATGAATGGCACTCTCCCGTGTCTGCTGGGGAGCCGGGATGCCCTTCACAAGGGCAAAGTCTGCTGCTTAAAATTTATAAAATGTTAAAGAGAAAAGAATAATTTTAAAAAGGCTCACAGTGAAGTAACCAGCAGGGAACTGACCAGATTTCCATCTGTTTCAAATTAAACGTGTTTGTTATCCTTGCATCTTGCTCCCTAGCACAACATAATCAGTTAGAAAATATCTTCTGGAATCTTCACAGAAAGCATATTTTTATAAGTTTGTCTGGTTGTTTGTGTTCCCACACAAGGCAGTGATAGTTCTTCCTTCCTTGGGCTCTGATGTGTGCTTTATTGGAGCTATACCATGGTGTCTGTGGGCCTCATGCATTCGAAATTTATGTTTTGTTACATGTTCTGGCCCAACACCTATGCTAAATGTTAAGGTATGGCAGTAAAGGATAATATTAAGTAGGCAAAGTAAAAAAATAAAGAAATAAAGTATGATTTATGGAAAATGCCAGAAGGAAGAAACAAGGGAGCTGGAGATAGGGATTAGCTGTCAAGGGCAGCCTTTGTATTGGGTGATCAGGAAAGGTTTTTGGCAAATGAATTTGAGGCAGAGACCTGAATGTGAGGAACAAGCCACTCAAACAGAAACTGGGTGTTGAGTGTTGTGGGCAGAGGAAATAGCAATGGAAAAAAAAAACATAGCAGATTTTGGGATCCAGAAGAAGAGAAAAAAGACAGTGTGGTCAGAGCACTCAGAGAGAAGAAATAGACTGAGAAGCCTGAGCCATGCCAGGTAGATCTTAAGGTAAATAGTCATGAGTTTATGATTTACTCTAACAATGACAGCCAAGGGACAAATGTCATGCTTGGATTTGCATTTTATGCAAGTTGGACTAGCTAATCTGTGAGGAACAGATTGGAGGGTGAAGAGTGAGCAGGGAAGGCAGGTGGGACGTATCTCAGTCCAGGTAAGATGGCCGTGACTTGTGCTGGGACAGCGCCACTGGAGATGAGAGGGGAGGATGCTATGGAGAGAGGTTCCGGAGATAGCAATGACAAGACCTGCTGATGTTGTGGATTCAGGGGCTCCTGGAAAGGAACATTCAAAAGAAGCAGTTAGTGTTTGACATGAAGAATGGGTGGAGAAGGTGCAGTTGACTGAGGGAGAGAGGGCCTGGGGAAGGAGCTCTGTGGGAGGGTGGGCGAGAGAAACACATCTTGAACACATGAATCAGGGAGACCTGTTGCTAAGCACTACGCAGAAACGAAGAAGTCTTTTGTCAATGTCTCCCTTAAAAGTCAAACCTCGTAATTTATTGTTGTAACCCTCTAATAATAGAAATGTTTGGAAGAACATACAACAGAGCGTGAGACAACCAAAGTTTGGAAAATTAGAGATGATTCAGGGTTGGCAAGAAATCTAGCGAATGACACAGCACGTAGAAATGCATAATCATAGATTTTATCCTCTGCAGCTTCTTGTCCGGGCAGAGTTCGGTACTGTATGGGAAAGAATCATGTTAGATGATGTTCAGTACAGGGAGTCGGAAGGCTGCTTGTGCTGACAGGAGTGGCCACAGCGCTCAGAAACCAGAATGCGAATTATGATTCAAAGAGACAAAGAAATACATGGGCTTAGAAGATGATACAATCTACTAATTTAATATTGTTCTTCGAGTTCCAGGGAGTGTAGACTTTTTCCTCCTCAAAGCTACTCTTTAAAGTGACATTTTCTTTATAAATTAAGTATGAAGAAGAAATGAGGGGAAGAGGGGTCCCTCATAGCATTTCTTTAGCTGAGCCTCTGATTTCCTATTAATTTCCAGCAGACTCTGTTTGTTTTCTTTTCAGCCTATCCACCTCTGAGTACACACTGCCCTGCCCTTTGCTTTGCTTATCTCCTCTTCTGTTTGGTGTTCTAAAGGTGTCTGGGGTGCTTTTAGGAAGAATAATGCTTGGATGATTGCTTAGCAGTCTGCAAAGCAAAATACATTATTTGGAGCTTATCACTGGCACCTGACTTGGAAGAATAGTTTGTCCTGGTGGCTTCTGGTTTATGTCTAGACTCTCAGATTTGTGCCTGCCAAAGATCTTTTATGATTGATAGAAAAAGCTTAAATTTTGGAGTCAGAGAGGCCCCATTTCAATTGTCAGCTCTACTGTTTTCTATTTGTAGCATCAGCCTTGTGACTTCATGTCTTCGAACCCGGTATTTTTCATCTGAAAAAAATGTGGGTAATAATACATATGTAAATTATAGGGTTGTTATAAAGAGAAAAATGATGTAACACATGAAAAGTTCTTAAGAATGATATTTAATTCATGGTGGTAATCAGATAGTCTTTCTTTACTATTATTATTGTTACTATTGCTATGTTTGCAAACATATGGTCATCAGTTTGATAGGCAACATTCTAGGTATGCAACCCTATAAGGGCCATTGAAGAGCCCTACTACCATGGGTGGTGGGTAGTTGGAGTGATGGAGTGGATTTCTCTGTTATATTCTAGCAAAGATTGCAAACTGGAAGCCCCTGACATATTTAATTCCTTCATTTTAAAACTTGAATTAAATTTAAAGCAAATAATTACAGGTTAAAATGTGGACTTTTCCTGTACAATGTGGATTGCAGGCTTCTCTTGAAATACTGGCAGATCTGGCAATACTAAGCCCAGCCATTCCAGATGGCAACCCTCAGCAATGACTTTGCAGGGCATGCTCCTTCAAGTTTTCCACCCTCTCCATAGCTCAATGCTGGTGTTAAAGAATCTGGCCTTAGATATTATATGGGCTACTGACCAGCTTATATGACTTGGGACAAAATCTAACCCTTAGTCTCAGTTACCTCATCTGGAATGCAAAGATGATAATGCTTATCCTGAAAGTTTCTTTTAAAGGATAAAGAGGAAGAAGAGGAAGAAGAGGAAAAAGAGGAAGAGGAAGAGGAAGAAGAAGAAGAAGAAGGAGGAGGAGGAGG